GGATTAGCATATGTACATATTCAGCCAAGATGGCCTAAAAGCAACAGCACCCCAGAAACAAGAAGAACACCTACCACCCATTTGTTTTTAGGTTTTTTCTTTTTAAATGGGGTCTTGCTACATTGCCCAGGCTGGACCCAAACTCCTAGCTTTGAGCAGTCCTCCTGCCTCAGCCTCCCAAGTAGCTGAGACTACAGGTACATGCTACTGCACCCGGCTTAGACCTTGGTTTTTAATAACATTCTCTAATAAAAGGAATCAGGTCATGGAAAAATGATTGACTGCTAAGACTGAGGCAGGAAATACACAAGATGAGAGTAGAGAATTTTGTCATGCCAGAAAGTGAGGAAGTAAAAAACAAGCAAACTTATCGATGGCATATATCAAAGGAGCACAAGCCCTAACAGAAGGAGCACTCAATGGCCAACACTAGGATAATTTAAGCAACAAAATGAAGTAATATTGGATTATAACCCAAACTATAAAATGAAGGTTCATGAGTCCATACAGATATATAATAAATGATTTGATAAATGAATTAAAGAGGAGAAAATGGATTAATCTCCTGTGCAGAATTCCAAATAATTTATATAAATACTCCCACTTCAAGTAAGTAGAACATAATTCTAGAACATATACTCTTTCAGTATAGGCTGCTCATAGTGACCTTCCAAAGAGTACAATATGGAAAGGAGGAAAAAGGTAACACTACAGGAAAGAAACGTAACAAATACTACTTCACCTAACAAATACTACTTCACCCAGGTTATCAAGGTCAACATCAACAGTGATAATTCGTGTTACTAGTATGTACCCTTGATACAATGACACTTTACTTCTGTCATCTTCTTCCTCCAAACCTATAACTACAGTATAATCAAGGGCATAACATCAGACAAATCCCAGTTCAGGAATATTCTATAAAATACTTGACTAGTACTCCTCAAAACTGCAAGGTCATCAAAAACAAGGAAAATCTGAGAAACTGTCACAGCCAGGAGGAGCCTAAGGAGACATAAAGACTGAATATAATATGATATCCTGGATGGGGTGCTAGAACAGAGAAAGAACATTAGGCAAACCAAGGAAATCTGAATGAATTATGGACTTTAGTTAATATATCAGCATTGGTTCACTAATTATGACCAATGTACCATACTAATGTAAGATGTTAATAATAGAGGAAGCTGGATGAAGGGGTATATGCAAACTCCATACTATTTTCTCAGTTTTTCTGTCAGTTAAAAATTTTTCTAAAAAATAAAGTTAAAAACCACGTCAGAACAAAGAACAGAACTGGGAATGGTACAACAAGGTGTTCTTTTGTCATGCTGAGATCATGAAGTTCTCAGATAGTCCACAGCTCAACGTTGGTTAATTTTATTTTTCATCTCTTCTGGCAATAAATATTATTTCTATGAATTAAAAAATAAAATTAAAAAAAAATTATAAAAGGTACCTAGGAGAAAGCCTAGATGACCTTGGATATGGCGATGACTTTTAAGAAACACCAAAGGCAAGATCCATGAAAGAAACAGTTAATAAGCTGTACTACATTAAAATTAAAAACTTCTGCTCTGTGAAAGACAATATTAAGAGAATGAGAAGACACGCCACAGATTGGCAGAAAATATTTGCAAGGACTGTTATCCAAAATATACAAACAACTCTTAAAAGCTCAATAATAAGAAAACAACCTGATTGAAAAAATGGACGAATGACCTGAATCCAGATACCTCACTAAAGAAGATCCACAGGTGGCAGATAAGTGTATGAAAAGAAGTTCAACATCATATGTCATTAGGAAATTGCAAATTGAAACAATGGGATACTACTGCACACTAATTAACATGGCCAAAATGGAGAACACTGGCAATGCCAAATGCTGACAAGGATATGGAGCAACAGGAACTCTCATTCATTGCAGGTAGGAATGCAAAATGGAGCAGCCACTGTGGTAGACAGTTTGGCAGTTTCTTAAAAAAACGAAACATATTCTTACTATACAATCCAGTAATCACACTCCTTGGTATTTACTCAATTGTACTGAAAACAAACCTGTATGAAGATCTTTGTAGCCGCTTTATTAATAGCTGCCAAAACTTGGAAACAATGAAGGCGTCCTTCAGTAGCTGAATGGATAGGTAAGCAGTGGTACATCCAGAAATGGAACGTGATTCAGAGCCAAAAGGAAATGTGCTATCAAGCCACGAAAAGACATGGAGGAAACTGAAATTCACATTACTAAGTGAAAGAAGCCAATCTGAAAAGGCTGCATATTGTATGATTGCAACTATGTGACATTCTGGAAAAGGCGAAACTGTGGAGACAGTAAAATATCAGTGGTTTCCCAGAGTTAATGGAGAGAGCGTGGTGACTAGGCAGAGAGCACAGAGGATTTCTAGGGTAGTGAAACTGCTCTATATAAACTATATAGAGTAGTTTATATAGAGTATATTTATTTATACTCTATATATAGAGTATATCTATTTATATAGAGCATATTTATATAGAGTAGTTTTATATAGAGTATAAACTACTATATATAAAACTATACTGTAATGGTAGATACGTGTCATTATACACGTCAAAATCCATAGACTATAGGACACCAGTCCTACAGGAGGGAGCCCCAAGGTAAACTACGGGACTTTGGGTGATGACGATGTCTCAGTACAGGTTCATCAGTTGTAACAGATGTACCACTCTGGTGCAAGGCGTCCACGGTGAGAGAGGTTGAACATGTCAGGGGCTGGAGACAAGTGGGAACCCTCTGTATTTTCCTCTCAGTTTTGCTGTGAACTTAAAACCGTTCTAAAACATAAAGTTTATTCATTTAAAAAATACCAATGAGAAATATTATATTACACCCTCTCCCCCAGGAGGCAAGCTGCATGGAAGTCACATTATCCAAAGGTTAGCCGGGTTGCTGGGAGACATGGAGTCAGAACAAGAACTGACGTTGTAATGATTTAAATGTGTGGTGGCTCTGAACTCCAGTAGTTGAATGTTCTTGTCTTTCTCAGACGACAGGCCTTCTCTGCTGGGCAGTGCAGGATGGGCAGGGCATGTGTTTGCTCTGTCACTCCACTTTTGTTGCTGCTCCTTTTAGACATAAACACCTCTGCTGACGTACCATCATGTTCAATCTGGTTATCTTCAGGACTGGTTTCCAGGAGTCCAAATGTATAGACTTTGTCCATTTATAGCTTTGACCTATTATGCTTTGATTTTGTAGCCTAACTTTCAACACGTGACATTTCTCTCTTTTCCAGGTATTTCCAAGTACAGTTGACCTTTAAACAAAACAGATTTGAACTGTGTGGGTCCACCTATATGCGTGTTTTTCCCAAAAAATACAGTCATTCCTCCATATCCACGGGTTCAACATCTGCAAGCAAACACGGATTGAAAATACAGTGTTCTCGGGATACAAACCCAATACAGACAGGGTCTTTTCACATCACTGCAGGACTTAGGTATGTGCAGATTCTGGTATCCACGGGGAGTCCTGGAGCCAGCCCCCTGCAGATGCCATGCAGTGATGCCAGTACTTCCTCAAAACAAAGCTGACAAATCCTGCTCCCTCAAATATGCTTAATGAAACCCTTTCTCCGGGTTCTTTTTTACCCTAATCCTCCTCCCATTCTGGTTACACTCCCATGACTAAATATCTTCCCTACTATCTTATTCTAACATTCCTTTTAAAAACTAGTGCCCAGAACTGCTGAAGTACTCTGCATGTCATCTGATTATTTCAGAGTACAGCGGACTCTTGTATTCATCTGGACATTGTAATTGCATTAATGCAGCCAAAATTATATTAAGTACTTTAGCAGCCCCATCTCCCTAGCTCTTATTGAGACTATAGTTAAAAAACATCCCTGAGGCCTTTATCTTGTGAACTGCTGCATCACGCAGCTGCTAGTAAAGCCTTCTCTCCTCCAACTTGTGCTTTTATAATTGAATCTCTTTAAATGTAAATGCAGACAATTGCATTTGTCCTAGTTAAATTTCATCTTGTTATTTTGAGCCCAGAATTCCAGCTTGTTGAGATCTTATTGAATCTTGGTTCTGTCGTGGATTTCTGTTATGCGTGCTTGCTTGTGTCTACAACCCAGGTAGAGGAGGCCTGCAAATAAATATATCCCAGCTGGGCTAACGAAAAGTGAGAGGTACAGAGAGGAGACAGCAGTGATGATTGTTCAAGGATGGGGAAGGCAACTGCCCATTCCCGAAGTAGCAATTTCCTAACATCTTTGGTAGCTGTTCACAGTCTGACATTGTCAGGTATATCAAAAGTCATTTGTTACTAATTACATTTAACAAACCGAAATTCATTCTATAAATTAGAGTGAATTTGAGACTATCTCTATCATCCCTCCTACTCCCTTGCATTCTCCAGACATTCTTCAGTGGGAGAAAAAGGAGCAGAACTACACTAGTGGAAACCAGGCTTTCTCATCTAGGTTGCAGTCCCTAAGCTGGGTTTGCCATCCCTGCGCCAGCACAGTGGCCCTCAGCTTAAGTCTGTGGCATGGCTGCAGGACCACATTCTCGTGAGTGGCACCCTTCCATAAGTGTGGTGACACATTGTGGGCTGCTGTTTTAGGAGAGACTGCCGGCATGCTGGGGATTATCCTAGTGCATCAGATGTTCCTCTACTGCTTTCTCTCCTGCTGGTTCATGACATGCCACTGGCTTGAAAAAAATCTCAGCTCTAACATTTAAAGCAGCAATTTGCAAACTGCTGCATGTTAAAGCTGGGGTTGGCAAACTCTGGCCCGTGGACCAAATCTGGCTCACCACCTGTTTTTGTACATCGTTGAATGATTGGAGGGGGGGAAATAAAAAGAGGAATAATATTTCATGATATGAATATTATATGAAATTCAAATTTCATGTGCATAAATAAAATTTTATTGTACATACCCGTGTTCATTTATGTATTGTCAATGGCTGCTTTTATGCTACAGTAGCAGAGTTGAGTAGTTGTGACAGAGACTGTACACCCACAAGCCTAAAATATTTACTACCTGGCCCTGTACAGAAAAGTTTGCTGACTCCTATGTTAAAGGATTGCCTGTAGAGATCTGCATCACACTCTCCTGTGATGTTTCTGAGACTCTGGATTCCTGAGCCTCACCCCAGACCAAATGAATCAGACCAAGAATGTGCATGTTAAGCAAGCTCTTGAAGTACATACCTCCACACACACTGAGACAAAACTAATGATAATGAGCTAAGGATACAGGAAAGGAAAAGATCCTGCCTTGCTTTTTCTGCCCAACCTATTCTCTTGTAATCCTGTTTGCCATAATTTTTGTTGTGCACTATATAAATTATATTGATGGGTGTCTTTCCAATCAGTTCTCTTCCAAACGTTTCTACTTTGTGGAAAGAAGGCTGTATTCGTTCCTTAGAGCTGCTGTAACAGATTACGAAATGTTGGTTGACTTGAACCAGCAAAAATTTATTCTCTCACAGTTCTGGAGGCCAAAAGTCCAAAATCCATCAAGGCTCGCTCTGAGGGGTGTAGGGAGAGAGGAACCATTCTTCGCCTCTTTCAGCTTCTGGTGGCTGTTAGCATTCTCGACCTGTAACTGCATCACTCTGATCTCTGCCCTGCTGATCCCATTGCCTCATTCTCGTCTCTTCTGTTTGTCTCAACTCTCCCTCTGCCTTTTTCTTATAAGGACATTTGTCATTGGATTTAGGGCTCACATGGATAATCCAAAATGATCCCCTCTCAAGATCCTTAATTACATCTAGAAAACTACAAAGACCTCTTTTCCAAATAAGGTCACATTCACAAGTTTTTGGGGGTTAGAAAAGGGATATATTCAGGGAGGGGGGGCACCATTCAACTCGCTGCAGATGCCGTTGTTCTCCTTTTGCCCCAACAGCCAATCAGGTTCCAAGTCTTGAAGATTCCGTCCCTTCTTCTCCATTGTGACTTGTACCATTCTAATATCTTTCTGCGATAGGAATCCCTTCCTTTGAAATCTCTGATGGTTTCTCCCTCTTTAAAAAGTTTAGAACATGCTTCTGAGCCTGGAATTTGGGACTCTCTGCAGGGATGTTGCCCGTATATTATTCATTTCCTTCTCCCTCTTCTTCTCTCCAGCCACAATGTATTACTTGTCACTGAGCACCCTGCTCCTGCCTTGTCCCTGAAGCCACTCACACAGTTCCCTGCTCCTTGAAGGCTGATGGTTTCTCCCTCCTCATCACCGCTACCCCTGCCTTTGCACCACCCAAGGCCCAAGCATCTCTCAAAGCCCATCTGAGATCCTACCTCCCTGTGAGAGCTTTGCTGCTCCTTCCCACTGGGTATGAATCTCTGCACCTTGTATGATGTGTACCTTGTTCTTCCTCGTGTCATAATATCTGTACTCACATTGCACAGTGGTTAGGAGTAGGGGCTCTGAATCGTGCTGCCCAGGTCAACTTTAGGCACTAACCAGCCGTGTCTTAGTGGGCAGGTTATTCAGCCTCTCCTCGCTATGGCTGTCCATCAAAAAAGGGAATGATGATAAGTACTTCCTGATATTGTTGTGGGGATCAAACAAGATAATGCGTGTAAAGTACCTGGACTCTATGAAGCATGCAATCATTATTTGTTATTATTGTCTTTGTTTCCTGACAACTAACACAAAGACTTCTATAAGTAGGTGCAATTATAAATAAATACTTACAGAATTTAAATCATTAAATTCAAACCTGAGACCAGAAGCTGACGGCCTGGTGTTTTTCTGTTCAGACCCTGTGTTTATCAACTCTAGTAGGTCTGACGTGTCTCCAGTAAAAACAGGCTTAAATAAACCAAATTTCTCTTCTTTTGCTAGATGTATTATTAGAAATCCTGTTGTAACGTTCTTTTTGGTACTGTTTCTTTTCATCAAATGGGTAGTTGGTGGCTAAATATGATTTTCATTTTTTAGTGATTCCTATCCTACAGCCAGACCAGCTTGTAGCCAAATACTAAATCAGCCTGAAGTAAACATTGAGTAGAGACTTTGTTTTTGTGATGTCCATTGATAGGAGCAAGTGCCTGGGAAAAGAAAGGAGCCATGGCCTGTGACACCTGCCAGAAGCTAACAATTTATAGATTTCTTTTCAGGCTGTAGCCACACTCATAAAGAAGAGTGCCCTTGTGACAAATCCCACTAAAAATAGCCCTAGAAGTGTGCACTTGCTTCATGATTTATGATCTAACAAACTCTGCTGTGGGACTGCAGGGTTCCAGGCAGAGAACACGTGTGGCTCTCTGTGGCTCCAGGGGGTGGCCAGTGCTGGCAGATCCTGGAAACGGAGACGCTTAGAAGGTGGAAAGTCTTTAAGGCTCTAAGCTCAGTTGGTGAACATGGTTTTAAAGAGGACTTAAAATGTATATAATATTTTTCAAAACACTAGGTCCAGGTGTCATGGTAGACATAGTGAAGGAATGTGGGTGAAGCTCTGGATTAGAACCAGATTTTCAGCAAACTTCAGAGGAGCTGCTGTCATTATACAACTCAGCAATACAGTCGGATTTCAATGCCAGATTAATTTGCCCCAATGCAGAACCTATATGTAGTTTTAGAAAGTGGAGGCCTGATTAATCTGATGCTGGGTTCTGGTGTTGGGCTTTCTGGTCTCCCTCACAGGATTTTGCTTTTTTGGAAGTTCCATGAGAGTTTACCTAGCCATCTTATGTACAGACAGCTTTTAGGTGGTGTTGAACTTCCTCTAGATGTACATAAAATCCCCAGTTAACAAATGGATTTTGCTTAGGTGTCATTTATTCTGGAACTCCATTGTGCATTTTCCCCATGGAAGCAAAGTTATTAAGTTAACTTCAAAGGGCAATTTAAAAATCCCAAAGCCAATTTAATCCATAATGTAGCTAAAGTATAATACATTGTCAATAAAAATATTTTTTAAAAGATACTATTTTCCAGCCTTTTCCCCATCCCTGCTATCCACATGGAGCCTCTTGCCACCCAACAGGCAGTTTACCCTTTAAAGAACCAGGGAAGAATTGCCAAGTAGATAATTTTCATCTTTCTTGCCAAGTCTCCCCTTGTATGTGGGTTTGGAAAGTCTGTTGGTTGAAAGCTGAAGCCGTCTGGATTGTAGGGACACTGTCAGGTGTAGCTTCCTTTAGTAGGGGCCAAGTCTGTGCCCACAAGGTTTATCATTCAACTAACATAGGGCCTCTGGTGCCTGAAAGTGTAATAATTATATAATGATTTTAGAAACAAAAATAATACATATATAGCAGTTACTATACACCAAATGCTTAATATATGTTAATTTATGTAACCTTTATAATTCTGAGATTTGTTATCGCCATTTTCTGCATGACGAAACTAAACCATAGAGAGTCCAAGAGAGGTACTAAGATCAAACAGCTAACGAAAAGAGACCTGGGATTCCAACCCAGGCAGTCCAGCCCCAGCATAAGTGGGTATGACCCAGCCACACATTCTTCCCTGTGCAACATTAGATGTGCATTCCTAGTTACCCCTGTACCCTGTGTAAAGCACTGTGTTCTCACATTGAGGACGTGAGCCACATGCACTGGCATTCCCAGGGAGCGCCCCACTGCTTGCCATTGCATTCCCTGGCACTGCCACTGGCACTTGCATTGCCCTGGTTCTCGTTGGGATTTGACTGGTGGTTGTCGACCCTTCCCCAGAGCTGCTGATTTTGCCCTGGGTTTCCCAATCCTCAGCTTCTCCCATTTGTCTTCCCTTATCTGTTCTCCCTTCCTTGCCTGCTTCCTAACAGGAAAGTGTACCCCAACTCTTCTAATCACTAAACCCCAAACCAGCTCAATACCACTCATTAAAACAAAGTAAAGCAAAACAAAACAAAAAAAAAAACCTAATAAGATGCAACTTTCTTATTCTTAGTGCTAATAATTAAAAAAAAAAAAACAAGTTTAATCAGAGAAATATGAAAGATGAGAATGTAGTTGGAGACTTGTGAGATTCTACAGGAAACAAATTCTAAAGTTGTTTTAAGGACTTCCAAAGTCCAAGGAACTGAATACTGCATCTATAGTAAGTCTCATTTTACTTCATTTCTTATATTACTAGTATAGTCTTATAGTTACCTGTCTTGCTCTTTAACTTATAGATGTAGTGCAGTAAACTAAGCTGATTTTTCCAGGATGTCTAGGAAAGAGAACTTGCATGAAGACATCCGTGCCCTGAGTAACAGCAGTTTGCCTGTGGTGACTTCCAGTGAGTTGTGATCAATGAAAAGGGGAAATGCTGCTTGTACATGGTGTTTCTGAGGGAGAAAAATGATGATGTAGGGAAGAGAGGAAAGGTGACTTGTGTGGATTATGGGACAACAGGGTGACTAGAGAAGCAGGAATGGGGTGGATGAGTCCGGGCATAGAAATGGCATGTGTAGGTGGCCAACCTTCTGTTTTGTAAGTAATTCTGTAGCTTGACTATACATCAAGCGTTGTCTTCAAGTGCATATTTCTGAGTACAGACACAAAATAATTTTGAAAATTTTTATGTTTTCTTAGTGCATGTATTATTTTTGTTTAAAAAGTTTTTTAAATTGAAAATGTGCTAGATTTTAGCTGTCATATATATATTTGCATATATGAAGTGCAACGCAAATTAAACAAAAATAAAAGAATTTGTTCCATCAAATGAGAATTATAAATTAAAATCTCATGTAATTAAGTAATTATACCTGCTGATTTTCAGCAGGGAAAATTCAGAATTACTTTTGGAATTCTTTTTAGCAGCATCTTATCCCAGTGTCTTTACAATAATAGAGCAGAGTGGTCACTGTTATCTTCATATTTAATATTGTTTTATAACATTTTAGTCACATCAGTAAGATAATATGTATAAATGTTGAGAAAAAGATAAAATTATATTCAGCTACTTTGATTATATACCTAGAAAAATTAACAAAATAATAAGAAATTAATAGAAGGAATTCTAGTAAAGTGACTGTAGATAAAATCAATTTAAAAAAAGCAGTTGCCATCTACTTAGAGGATGACTCTAGTTTGTAACCAGTAAGAAAATATAATTTTAAAAATTGTCAATAGTGAAATAATATAACTAGGAATACTCTTTAGAAGTATATGGCCCATATGAAGATTTTTAAATTTTTGAGATATAAATGAAGATGACTAAAAGAAATATTTATTATTTTCCTCAAAATAATGTAAAGATGTCCATTCTTAATACATTGATTTTGAGGTTTGATGTAGGGTTTTTTTTAATATTTAAAAATTTTATTTATATCATAAGAGTACAGATCAAAATTCTGGTAGAATTTTGTAAGTTGAGGTGCATGTGACAAGAAGAGATGAGACTGGGGTATAAAGGGATTTCCAAACTTATTAATAATAATATACAAATGAGGAAACTATTAAACAGATGCAAATTTAAAAGCATTGCGTAAAACAGCTGGCGTGGACTTTTAAAAACTGTCATGCCACAAAAGACAGAGATGGAGAGGGATGGAGAGGAAGGGAGGGAGGGAGGAAGGTCAAAGAATCTATACTGAAAGATTTTAAAGAGATATAACAATTAAATGTAATGGGTGATTCTTAATCAGTTATTTTTTTTTTAAGCTTTGAAGTTAATTGTGGGAGGATTGTGGAAATTTGCATCTTGATGATATGAAATATTGGATTGTGATAAAGGAGAATACCTTTGGCATGTCTGTAGTCCCAGCTACTTGGAGGCTGAGGCAGGAGGATCGCTTGAGCCCAGGAGTTTGAGGTTGCTGTGAGCTAGGCTGACGCCACGGCACTCACTCTAGCCTGGGCAACAAAGCGAGACTCTGTCTCAAAAAATAAGTAAATAAATAAATAAATAAAGGAGAATACCTTTGTTCTTAAGAGCTATATATCAAAATATTTACAGATGAGGTGTTGTGATGCTTGTGGGTTAATTTCAAGTAGTTCAAGGAAAATAAGTGTATGTACATGTGTCATGTGTTTACAAATGTAGAGAAAAATAAAATGTAATAAAATATTAATTGGTGAATCAAGGTGAAGGGCATACAGTTGTTCATTGTATTATTCTTTAAACTTTTCTGTAGATTTAAAGTTATTCAAAAATAAAATATGGGTAACAAAAGAATAACAAGAAGAAGAGAGAATATTAAGGAAAACTCTTTAAAAAAATCGTAATAGGAAAAAAAAAAAAATCGTAATAGGGCTATCGCCCTGCCAGATCCAGTATTCATTGGACAAGCAGATATTGACTGCATACTATGTTGTATATTGCTACAATTATTTTTTTATTTTTATTTTTTATGGAGATGGGTGTCTTTCCCAGGCTGGTTGAGCTCCCGGCCTCAAGCAATCCTGCTTCAGCCTCCCAGAGTGCTGAAATTACAGGTATGAGCCACTGGGCTCAGCCTATATTTGCTACAGTTATTAAAATAGTAATGGCACAGGGATAAATAAGGATTAGTGGACTGAAATAAACAGCCAAAAGATCTGGCATAACTAACAGTTTCTCACAGGATAAATCAATAGGGAAGGGCAAGATTATTTATGAAATCATATTGGGATACATGCTTAGCAATTTTCAAAGAAAAATCAACTTAATCCTTCCTCTCAAAACAAGCACTGAACTAAATTATATTAGATAAGTTTAAAAAATAAATAAATATAAAAAGAAAAAGAAATACAGAATTATAGTAAATGAGATTCTAAGCCTAGAATGAACTGAACAAATCACAAAAGAATCATAAATTTAACTAAATAAAAATAATAACCTTATTACATTAACAGATACTAAGAGTGATCTGGAAAACAATTTGCAGGTTAATAATTTTATTATTATAAAGAATTCATTCAAATTTATTTCTAAAAATCCCCAAATCCCAGGGATGAATGGCAACAGCCAATATCAGACAATTCACCAAAGAATTAAAGCTAGTAATGAACTGATAATTAAATCATTACAAATGAAACAATGACTATTTCAACTCTAAAATCACCTTAAAACAAAAAAAACAGGCCAGGCGTGGTGGCTTACACCTGTAATCCTAGCATTCTGGGAGGTTGAAGCGGGAAGATTGCTCAAGGTTAGGAGTTCGAAACCAGCCTGAGCAAGAGCGAGACCCCGTCTCTACTAAAAATAGAAACAAATTAATTAACCAACTACAAATATATAGAGAAAAAATTAGCCAGGCATGGTGGCGCATGCCTGTAGTCCCAGCTACTCGGGAGGCTGAGGCAGCAGGATTGCTTGAGCCCAGGAGTTTGAGGTTGCTGTGAGCTAAGCTGATGCCAAGGCACTCTAGCCTGGGCAACACAGTGAGACTCTGTCTCAAAAAAAAGCAACAGAAAGACAGTGGCTTGCTGGAGAGGGTGCAGACAAGCTCCTATTCTCATACTTTGTTGGTGGCATTGCAAAGGTATACCACTCTGGAGGGAAAGAGTTTGGCAGTACTTAATGATGAGTCACAGAAATCATTATACCATTGATTTACTAATTCTACCTTAGGGGCTCTAGCTTAAGTAAATAATCTAAAATAGTGATAGGGTAAAAACTGTGTACAAAAAAGTTGTCACTCATTTATAAAAGTGAAACCTTGGAAGTGAGCTAAATATTAGCAATAATGGATGACTTAGAGAATTATGGTATGATGTCTAAAGGACTATTATACAGCTGTTAAAAATGATGGTTACAGAGATCACATGGGAAAGTTATTTTGAAATGTGAAGTTTAAAAAGTTGAAAAATTATGTGCATGATATAAATGGTGTCAATTTTAGTGCTAACTTTATGAGCTACTCTTAATCACTAGGAAAAATATTCCTTCATCTTACCAAAGTTATTACATTTTGCAGTGGTTTTTTTTCCTTCCAAGGAAGAAAAATAATGCAATGCAGTCTCCCATCTAGGGCGGTGTTTACGTATTAAAGCAAATGCAAATTTCACTCTAGAATTGTCCAGAAAGATAAGTATTCAAACAACTATTTATTGTTGTTCTTGCTGTATAGTTTTTTCATTTTTTCCACCTTATCATTTTTGTTATACCCTGAGTAAATCACAAAGCAAACTAAAGAAGATATTTTCAACAAATGATTTTTTTGGGACATTCAACTTAAGTGATGGTTACTGTTCTAAAATTTTTACGTACCTTAGGTTTGGACCCATCTGAGTACAGTCTGTACAGGTCTATAGGTCTACTCTATACACACTGAAAAATAACATGCTAGAAATGTCTGTCTTTCTTAGATGCATTATTAGTAAATTCTCTGCAGCTGATATAAGCTAAATTGTGTTTTTATAAGCAAGGTATTTGATATATCATAATTATAGCAAGAATATCAACTGCTTTGTTGAGATCCAGCGATTGTTTTTTTAATCCCTGAGGTGTCAAAGCAGTTAATAAAAATAGCTGAGTGGGATATTTCTACTTTCAGAAGGTTGAATAGACACACTTTTCCCTATTTCTTCTTTTAAGTAAAATTGAAAACTTTAGACATTATGTATAAACCAAACGTAACAATGAATGGTGGAGAGAAGAAGACAGGCTGGCTAGTCACCTTGGAACCTGAACAGTGACAGAATGGGGAGTTCCTTGGTTTCATTTTGTTTCATATGTCCCAGACTTGGAGTGAGGAAGCTAGCAAACTGGAAATGCCAATGGCATAGACAAAACAACCTCAAACAAAGCCTGCTCTCCCTTACCCAAAAGACCAGGAAAGGGGCATCCTAGCAAGACAAAACTTTTAGACTGTAACTGCTCTACTCCAGCTGAGCACTACAGAAAAAAATGTGGGGCCAGCTCCACCCATGCCAGCAAAGACCACGTGGGGAGCCCAGACCTTCACCCCTGTGAAACTCTAAGGAGGCACCCCAGCACTCCTACTGGGGTGGTTTCGGATAAGGACAAGGTAGGAGCTTAGATTTTCATCTCTCCCGTGCAGTAATGACTTCCTGTCCCCATGGTGTCAGTGGAGACAATGTGGGAGTAGCAGTAACCAGGAGCTCTGCTCCTCAGCTGTTGACAGACCCAGGTAGGAACCTAGACTCTACTCCCGCCTTACAGAAAGA